GAAGAAGTGCTCCTTTGGTCAAGGGGAGTTGAATTATTTAGGCCATATCATTTCTGAGAAGGGAGTGGCAGCTGACCCTACCAAAATTGATGCTATGAAGAATTGGGCTGTCCCCAAAGATCTGAAGGGGTTGAGGGGTTTCTTGGGCCTAACTGGTTATTACATTACATGAGGTTTGTGAAGAATTACAGTAGGATTGCTGCTCCACTTACCTCCCTTTTGAAGAAAGATGGGTTCAAATGGAATGAGTTGGACCAACAAAGCTTTTGAAGATCTGAAAACTGCTATGATTTATGTAACAGTTCTCAGGATCCAAGATTTCAATAAATTATTTGTGGTAGAAACTGATGCCTTCAGGGAAGGGTTTGGGGGCTGTTTTGATGCAAGAAGGTGGGCCAATTGCATACATGAGTAAAGAGCTATCTCCTAAGCATTTAAATAAATCAGTCTATGAGAAAGAATTGATGGCCATTGTTTTTGCCATCCAAAAATGGAGACCATACTTACTGGGAAGGAGTTTTGAAGTCCATACCGATCAAAGAAGTCTGAAATATTTAACTGAGCAGAAAATCATGGGGGAGGATCAACAGAAGTCGATAGCAAAGCTTATGGGTTATAATTTCATCATTAAGTATAAGCTTGTGTGTGAAAACAAGGCTGCAGATGCTCTTTCAAGAATGTTCAGTTTATCTGCCCTATCCATAGTTACTTGCCAAGAGTGGAAAGGTCTAGAAGAGGAGTTGCAGAATGATCCTAAATGTGGTGATATCATACAGAAGATACTCAGTCAGTCAGATCAACATATGGATTATAAACTGAAAGGAGGGTTATTATATTACAAAGGGAAGCTGATGTTACCTAAAGGATCCAGAAGGATCCTAACCATTCTGAAGGAATATCATGACTCAGCAGTGGGGGGACATTCAGGTTATTTCAGAACTATGAAAAGGATATCCAGTCTATACTTTTGGTCTGGGATGAGATCTGACATCAAAGATTACATACAGAGTTATGATGTTTGTCAAAGAAATAAATACCAGATCCTTAAACCTGCAGGTTTGTTGCAGCCTTTACCTATTCCTGAGCACATCTGGACAGACATCAGCATGGATTTTATAGGTGGATTACCTAAATCCTAAACTCCGTCATGAGATCATTTTTTTGGTATCATGTCTGTCCCAAGCCAGGATAAAGGAGGAGGGTGTTGTGGTAGGCGTGTGACGGCCAACAGTATCACTTAGTCACATCACATGACATGAATCGAAATATGAATATCGCTACAGCTAGGTTGTCGCCCGTAAGCGACGCGTCATCCCTCCGCCTGGGGGTGGTGTCAAATGAGCAAGGGCGCGCTACACTTCATAGGCCTGGGTGTGGTGATAAGAATGCTAAGGCTGCTAGGTCGTCGCCCGGAAGCGATGCGCCACTCCAATGCCCGAGGATGGTGTCAAATATGCAAGGGCATGGTGGGGGTCGATGTGGGGTGAAGAAGAGAAGGCAGGGTGTTAGATTGCGCTTTGGGACATGGAATGTTGGCTCTCTTACGGAAAGATCATCTGAGATAGCCGAGGTTATGAAGAGGAGGAATATCAGCATAATGTGCATGCAAGAAACTAAGTAGGTTGGAGAAAAGGCACGCGAGATTAATCCCGGAGGTTTTAAGCTTTGGTACTCGGGGAGAGAGAGGAACAGGAATGGAGTAGGCATTATGGTGGCACATGATTATGTTGACGGTGTGGTTGAAGTGTTTAGGAAGAACGATCGCATCATGAGCATTAAGTTGATAATAGGGGATGAGATCGTGTCCGTGGTTAGTGCCTATGCACCACAAGTGGGATTGGATGCATCTATCACTCAACAATTTTGGGAGGATCTTGAGGGAGTGGTGCGGCGAGTGGCAAGGGGAGAGAAACTGGTAATAGGAGGCGACCTCAACGGGCATGTGGGCCCAAGTCGTGATGGTTTTGAGAGTGTCCATGGCGGACATGATTTTGGCACTAGAAATGAAGCAGGGAAGAACATTCTGGATTTTGCCTCGACATATGAGTTGGTTGTGATGAACATTTGGTTCAAGAAAAGAGAGTCTCACCTTGTCACCTATAGAAGTGGAGTTAATAGTACCCAAATTGACTACTTTTTAGTACGGATGACTTGGAGAACTAGCTACACTGATTGTAAGGTTATCCCAGGTGAGAGTGCTGTCACTCAGCATAGGATGCTTGTGCTTGATTTTCGAGGTAAAAAGAGGGGACGAGTTAAGGTACAAGGGGAGCCAAAGATAAAATTGTTGAGGCTCGAGGGGAATCTCCAACAAAGTTTTGCACACAAAATGTTGGAGGAAGATGTTTGGTCTATTGATAATGACGCACACGTGGATGATGTGTGGTTATCAATGGAGTCCACCATTAACAAAGTGGCGAAGGAGATACTCGGAGAATCTAAAGGATGTCTGCCACCAAAAAAGGACACATCTTGGTGGAATGATGAGGTGAAACAAGCAATAAAGGCCAAAAGAGAATGCTATAAGAAATTGGGCAAAAGTTGGAGCGACGAGAACATAGAGGAGTACGAAGAGGCTAGAAGAAAAGCAAAGAAGCTGTGAAAGAAGCCAAAGGAAAAGTGAATAAGGAATTGTATGTAAAGTTGGATTCTAACGAAGGAGAAAAAGATATCTACAGACTTGCTCGCCTTCGTGACCGTAGGACTCAAGATATCGGAAAAGTTAAGTGTGTGAAGGATGTCGATCAAAGGGTACTAATGGACGACGAAGAAATAAAAGAGAGATGGATGTCATACTTTGATACCTTGTTCAACGGGAATAAAGTCCAAGGTATTGATGATCTTACTATACCAGAGTGTATGGTAAATAGAGACTTCGTGAGAAGGATTCAAACAACAGAAGTTAAAGAGGCTATGAGAAAAATGGGCCGGAAGAAAGCAGTGGGCCCAGATGGCATACCGATCGAGGCTTGGAGAAGTTTAGGAGAGAAAGACATCGAGTGGCTAACACGTTTCTTCAACATGATTTGGAGAAACAACAAAATGCCAGTGAGTTGGCGGAAGAGTACTCTAATTCCCTTATTTAAAAATAAGGGTGATGTACAAGAATGTGCTAACTATCGAGGGATTAAGCTTATGAGTCACACCATGAAACTTTGGGAGCGAGTGGTTGAGCAAAGACTGCGTAAAAGTGTGAAAATTTCGGAGAATCAATTTGGTTTTATGCCTGGACGCTCAACAACTGAGGCCATTCACCTTCTTAGACAAGTTGTGGAGAAATATAGAGACACTAAAAAGGATCTGCATTTGGTGTTCATTGACTTAGAAAAGGCATATGATAGGGTACCTCGAGAAATTCTTTGGTGGGGCTTAACTAGAAAAGGCATATCACGTAAGTATATCAGCATCATCATGGATATGTATGATGCTTGTACTACAAGTGTCCGCACTAGTGTAGGGAGGACCGCAGAGTTCCCTATTACTATTGGAGTGCACCAAGGATCTGCTCTGAGTCCTTTCTTATTTGCTTTAGTCATGGATGAACTTACGAAGTCAATTCAAGAAGATATACCGTGGTGCATGATGTTTGCCGACGATATTGTATTGATTGATGAGACACAATCCGGTGTTAAAGCAAAGTTGGAAGTATGGCGACAAACATTGGAGAGCAAGGGTAAACTGAGCCAAAGCAAGACTGGGTATATGGAGTACAAGTTCGGTGGAGGTAGAAGCAGTAGCAACAGTGGGATTACTCTTGATGGTAAGGAGATACCGGTGTGTGATATGTTCCTTTACTTGGGATCCATAATTCAGAAGGATGGTGAATTAGATGGAGATGTATGTCATAGAATCAGAGCTGGGTGGATGAAATGGAAAAGTGCTTCAGGATTTCTATGCGATCGAGGTATGCCGACTAAACTGAAAGGTAAATTTTATCGTACAGCAATTAGGCCGACATTAATGTATGGCGTAGAGTGTTGGGCGGTGAAGCAATGCCACATTCAAAAGATGAGTGTGACAGAGATGCATATGTTGCGTTGGATGTGTGGACATACCAGAAAAGACCGCCTGAGGAATGAGGTAATCGGACAAAAGGTGGGAGTAGCACCTATAGAAGATAAGATGCAGGAGTCTCGTTTGCGGTGGTTTGGGCATGTGCATAGAAGACCGAGCGATGCACCTGTTAGACGACTTGAGGGGTGGGGAGAAGAGTCAGAGAAGAGAGGGAGGGGAAGACCCAAACAGACTTGGATTAGAGTAATCAGAACTGATATGCGTCTTCTTGGGTTGGATGAGAGTATGACTTTGGAGAGAGCAAAGTGGAGGGCGCACATCCATGTGGACGATTGATGTCTTGTCTACCTTTCCTCTCTTGTTTCTTTTATCGTTTATCTTCCTTATCTTTTTATATACCTGTGTTATTTTTATCTTCTAGCTTTTTTATGCTCTTTTATTTATTTTTCTTTTATCTTGGTTATATTCTTGTGTTATTGTTATCTTATATTTATGTATCTTTATTTTATTCATTTTATCTTACTTTTTTTTCCTTTTCTTGTCCGCCTTCTCTTTTTGGCATCGATATCATAGATCGATTCATGTTAGCCGACCCCAAATTCTTTTGGGATTAAGGCTTGGATGTTGTTGTGTATTACCTAAATCCTATGGGAAGGACACTATATTGGTGATTGTGGATAGACTTACTAAGTTTGCTCATTTTCTGCCTTTGTCACATCCATTTGATGCTAAGGAAGTTGTTGAAGTTTTTGTTCAGGAGGTGGTCAGAATTCATGGATTTCCCAAGTCTATTGTCAGTGATAGAGACGGCATTTTCCGTAGCACTTTCTGGTCAGAGTTATTTAAATTGGCAGGTACTCAGTTGAAGTATAGTACTGCATACCACCCTCAGAGTGATGGACAGATAGAAGTGGTAAAGAGGTGTGTGGAAACTTACTTGAGGTGTGTAACTGGAATCAAACCTAAGCAATGGGTGAAATAGTTACCTTGGGGTGAGTTTTGGTACAATACAAATTACCACATCTCTCTCAAGAATACTCCTTATCAAGCCTTATTTGGACAGGACCTTCCTGCCATAATAAGAGGAGATGTGAGTTTAACTGCTGTAGCTGGGGTATCTAGACTGACAGCTTAAAGAAATGAGATACTGGAGGAATTAAAAGAAAATTTGGCTAGAGCTCAAAATCTGATGAAACAACAAGCTGACAAGCATAGAAGAGAAGTGGAGTTGAAAGTTGGAGATCAAGTGTTTCTGAAAATACAGTCCTACAAAATGAAGAGTTTGGCAAGAAGGATCAATCAGAAACTTAGTCCCAGGGTTTATGGTCCTTATGAAATCATAGAGAAGCTGAATTCTGTGTCCTTCAAACTCAAGTTGCCAAGAGATTGTAGAATACATCCTGTATTCCACATATCTTTGCTTAAAAAGGTGTCGAAACCTACTGTCCATTATCAAGAAATTCCAAGGTGTCTAACAGAAGATTGTGAGCTACAAGTGCAGCCTGAGGAGATTAGAGAAGTCAGAACGAATCAAAAAGGGAAGAGGGAACTCCTGGTACATTGGCAGGGTCTTCCTGAGTTTGAGGATTCATGGGAAGAAGAACAAATAATCCAAGAACAATTCCCAGACTTCCAACTTGGGGGCAAGTTGGATTTTCAGGAGGGGAGTATTGATAGGGACACGAGTGCAGCTATCAAGAAGGATAGATATTGTGGTCAAGTTTACTCTAGAAGGAATAAATAGACTAGTGGTTTGTTAGTTACTTTCGTTTAAATAATTGTAATCGCTTTCAGTTAGTCGGTTACCTATAAATAGAATAAGGAGGAAGAAGGACAGGTAGGCTGTGAGATCTCTGGACTGGTACTGGGAAGATTAGAGACTTGTTTTCTCTTTTCTTTGGACTTCGTACACTGTATTCCTCCATTGGTGAATGTGAATGATGCTTGAGCTCTAGTTCTATTGTTTTCTTACAATTCTTATACAATTGTTGTTCTATACCTGCGCAATACTTTATCAATCACAATGAGAAATTCCATGACTATGCTTTTCCATAGAATTATTATTTAAATACACCAAGTTGTCTACAACATTACAATGCATCTTCAATAAAAGAAAGGCAGGAAATTAAAACATAAACTGAAATTAAAAATTTTATTTACCCCAATAACTTCTTCAGGCTGTGGTCGTTGGTCCTTAGGGCGATCACAGAAGTTTTTGTACTCCTCTGCATCTCTGATGGCATATGTGTTAACCTGCTCAGATTATGTATGTTTGTAAATGCAAAATAAAATAATATTAATCATTATTATTATTTTGATAAATATATCACAAGTAGTGAAAACCCATACATATTACATAATAAATGAAAAATCACAAAAAAGCAAAAAAAAAAAGACAATTGCACACTGCCCTACCTCAACATCACATTTCATCTCCTTCGGACAAGGTTTGACCAGAAAGAATCTCTGTGACGGAGAAGGTTTTGCAAGCGGTTAGATATTCTCATTTATGAACAAATAGGGAAGCCAGATATTTCAAACTGAATGTTCCGATATGTATGTGGCTTACCTGACGAAAAGGCTTGTGAGGTGTTCTCTGGAATGCCTAGTGTTGTAAGAATTAAAAATAGAATAGTAATGAGAAGAATGATTTTTGTGTATATTTCATTGGAGGGTCAAGCCCATATATATATATATATATACATTACAAAGATAGAATATTCCTTTAAGATCCTATACAATAATAATATCCTAGAGTATATTCCTAAAATATTCTAAAGCATATTCTAAAGATAGAAGAATATTCTAAAACATATTCTAAAGAATATTCTATAATGTCTTTCACACTCTTCCTCAAGTTGGAGCATAAATATTTATCATGCCCAACTTGTTACATAAGTAACCAACACGAATTCCATTTAGTGCTTTAGTGAACAAATCTCCAAGTTGCTCTCCAGTCTTCAAATATCCTGTAAAGATCAATCCTTGTTGTATCTTTTCTCGAACAAAGTGACAATCGATCTCAATATGTTTTGTTCTCTCATGAAACACTGGATTGTTGGCAATGTGTATAGCAGCTTGGTTATCACACCAAGGTCTAGCAGGCATCGGTGTCTTCAATCCCATTTCACTCGATAAATGGTTTATCCAGATTATCTCACATGTTGATTGTGCCATAGCTCGATATTCTGATTCAGCACTCGAACGAGAAACCACATTCTGCTTCTTACTTTTCCAAGAGACGAGATTACCACCAACAAAGACGCAATAGCCAGTTGTGGATCTTCTAGCATCTGCAAAGCATTCTATTCTCATGTGATTATGATTCTGATAAACAATACCTCGTCCCGGTGTCCCCTTCAAGTAACATAATATATGCTCTACAGCATTCCAATGATCAACTGTCGGAGATGACATGTATTGACTTACTACACTCATTGAGTATGCAATATCTGGACGGGTAACTGCGAGATAATTAAGTTTTCCAACCAACCGTCTACATCTTTCCGGATCTTCGAATGGCATACCTTCATGAGTGAGTTGTACATTGGGAATCATGGGAGTACTGCTTGGTTTTGCCCCCAATTTCCCTGTTTCAGTTAGTAAGTCAAGGACATATTTACGTTGAGATAGAAATATGCCTTTCTTACTCCGTGTAACCTCAATTCCCAAGAAGTATTTCAATGAGCCTAAATCTTTCGTCTGGAATTGACTATGAAGAAAATTCTTTAGGGCCAAAATACATGCATTATCACTCCCTATAATCACAATGTCATCGACATACACCACAAGCAATGTAATACCTGTTTTTCGTTCGTCTATAAAATTCAGAGTGATCTGATTTGCCTTTTATCATCCCAAATCGTTCAATTGATTGGCTGAATTTCCCGAACCATGCACGGGGACTCTGTTTCAAACCATAAAGAGACTTGCGAAGTCGACAAACTTTCCCATACTCCCATGCTCAATATAAACTTCCTCCTGAAGATTACCATGCAAGAATGCATTCTTAATGTCCAATTGATGTAAGTGCCAACCATGAGTTGATGCGAGAGAAATAAGTAATCTGACAGATGTTAATTTAGCAACAGGAGAAAATGTGTCAGAATAATAAACATCATATGTTTGAGCATAACCCTTTGCGACTAATCGGGCTTTCAACCGAGCAATGGATCCGTCAGGATTAACCTTTACAGCAAAGACTCACTTACATCCTATAGACTTCTTCCCTGTAGGCAAGTCTACCAAATCCCAGGTACCATTAAGATCCAAAGCATTCATTTCCTCTACCATGGCATGACGCCAATCAGGATGAGATAAAGCATCTTTAACAGATTTGGGAACAGAAATAGAATCAATGGAAGCAATAAAAGAACATGAGGCTGATGATAACTGATTATACAACACACATGAAGAAATAGGATGAGTACAAGACCGTGTACCTTTACGTATTGCGATGGTCAGATCAAGATCTGATGTAGAGACAGGATCTGAAGATGCAGGTGTCGGTTCAGGATATGAGGTCGGATCAGTATCAGAAGTAACCACAGGTGGAGGATGGTCTTTCACTTTGTGTCGACGGGTGTTGTTAGGAACCCTCTTATATTAGACTAATAATAGAAGTATTAATAAGAATATTAGCAATGGGTACTTGAGGTATTGTATAGTATAAATAGACGGGAGAGGGGAATTAGTAGGGAGGCTGTTTTTTTAGACTTTGACTTTGGGACTTTGGGAGATCGAGAACTATTCTCTTTCTTTGGGGGGCTTCGGCTCATTGGGGGCTTCGGCCATTGATTTTGGTTCATCTTCAATACAGTTTTCTTGAATTGTTCCTTTAATTTCTGTTCATCTTTCCTGTAATATTTCTGTGAATCTGGACATCCCTGACATTGGTATCGGAGCTGTTACATCCTGGAGACAAAGAATCTGAATCATGGAGGAGGATTTCTACCTGACACCGAAAATGGAAAAGAGTTTTGATAATATTGACCGAATTATGAGGGAGACACAAGCGAGTATGGTCGTTATGCAAGAGGCGATGCAAGCTAGCGTTGCAGATTTGCAGAACCGACTTCAAAGTCGTTCGAGGAATCAATCGCACACTTCTGATACGTCGCATCAAGAACCGAAGCTTCGAAAGGAACATGGAGATCGATCGAGCAACACCAGGCATCATCGTCCCTGTGACAAGCCGAGTCCGTCGCAATCGCTCACTAAGTCGCAGAAGGAATCGCAGGAGCCGCTAACTGTTTCGCACTCGCGAAAGGATCTGAGCGGAAATTTGGGAAAAATCGCGGAAACGATGGAGCGCTTAAAAGTGGAGAAGGAGAAGAGCTTAAAACCGGAGAAAGAAAATCGCTCAAACCTGGAGAAAGAGAAACACTCAAGCCTAGAGAAGGAGAAACGTGCGAAGAGCAAACAACATCACCGGCGAGGACGATCGAGGAAGGTACGTCGCTGTGTGAATTCGGAAAGCAAAGGTCCGTCTCAGTCGCAAGATACTCATTCCGGACCTCTGGCTTCGACTCTAGTAGAAATCCCTAGTTCGCAGTCGGGAACTGTTTCTCTCTGTTCGCCATTGCTAACCGAGCATCTTCTATTGTTATCACAAGTAGATTCTTACCCTGCGCCAGACTTGTCTCTTCATTCGCAGAGGTCATTGCAAACCATATCTCCCAGGGTGCTAATGTCAACATGCCAACATGAATCATCCGTTTCAGAATTTAAAATCATAGCCGCATCATTAAAAGGATTAAAAGGGACTATAATTCTGGAAATTCATATTGAATTGAAGCAAGTGGCACCAACAGTTTCAGGGAATAGTGAAGTTGATATTCTGCAGGCATTTAACATTAATTTGGAAGGGCTGAACTCATTGAACAAGTTTGATAGTTTCAGATGTGAGGGCATTGCTTCTATGATGGGTAATAAAAAGGGGTTAGAAGAGGACAAGGTGTTGAGCATTATTGTTTTTAGGAGAGGGATGGAGAAGTATGTTGCTGATACTTTGGAATACCAGTTGGATAAAATCAGTATGGCCCGGGGTCCTATTACTCAGGCTACTGTTAATGGACTGGAAGCTGAAGCAAAACTGAACTGTTCCACTTATGTTCTTGTAACGGAAAACAAGCTAGGAGAAGATGTTGGAAATATAGAAGTAGAATCCTACTTGCTGGAAAGAATAGTTATGGCAATATCCCAGTATCAATGTGCAGTTTTTTCCTTGTTTGTCAATATCCCAATACACATCAGGCAACACATGGCATCAGGATATAGATTAATTGAGGAGTTTGTAAGCGGCCAAACATCTTTGGAAAGGTTCATGGTCCCACAATCAGTTCGATATTGGGAAGGGAGAGGAACAAGGAAGAGGAAGAGGAAGCCGAAGATTGTAGCTGTTTCCTATAATCCACCTTGAGGGCAAGGTGGAAGTTTAGGGGGGGAGTATTGTTAGGAACCCTCTTATATTAGACTAATAATAGAAGTATTAATAAGAATATTAGCAATGGGTACTTGAGGTATTGTATAGTATAAATAGACGGGAGAGGGGAATTAGTAGGGAGGCTGTTTTTTTAGACTTTGACTTTGGGACTTTGGGAGATCGAGAACTATTCTCTTTCTTTGGGGGGCTTCGGCTCATTGGGGGCTTCGGCCATTGATTTTGGTTCATCTTCAATACAGTTTTCTTGAATTGTTCCTTTAATTTCTGTTCATCTTTCCTGTAATATTTCTGTGAATCTGGACATCCCTAACAGGTGTATACCAAGTGTATCGGAGGCCTAGGCTCAGGAAAAGTAACATGGGGAAGAACTGCTGAAGTATTGGACTCGGGTATAGTGACTGTGTAAATGAGTATATCATCATTCTCCCTAAATGTGTCTGTTGATGAAAATGGTGTATTTTCATAAAAGGAGACATCAATTGAAACAATATACCGACCTGTACTTGGAGAAAAACATCTGTACCCCTTTTGAACTCGAGAGTAGCCTAAGAAAATGCACTTTAATGACTTGGGATCTAACTTTGTTAAATGGGGATTAACATCTCGTACAAAACAAGTGCAACCAAAAACTTTAGGAGGACTAGGAAAATTTTCATTATTTGGAAATAGGCACTGATATGGAGTTTTACCATCTAAAACAGTAGATGGCATTCGATTGATCAAAAAACATGCGGTAGACACAGCATCCGCCCAAAAATGTTTTGGCACATTCATTTGGAATAGAAGAGCCCACGCAGTTTCTAATAGATGTTTGTTCTTTCGTTCAGCAACTCCATTTTGGGGAGGTGTGTCTACACATGAAGTTTGATGAATTATGTCATGTTGAGCCATATACAACTTAAATGAGGCAGACAGATACGCTTTAGCATCGTCTCCCCTTAAAATACGAACAGGTACATTAAATTGAGTTTTGATTTCAGCACAAAAGGCACAAAAATGAGAAAATAACTCGGAACGACGTTTCATGAAATAAATCCAAGTCATACGAGAATAATCATCAACAAAGGTAACAAAATATTTAAACCCAGATTTGGACACAACAGGCAAGCACCCCAAACATCAGAATGATCCAGTTCAAAAGGAGCATGTGCTCGTTTATTGACTTGGGGACTTAGACTACTTCGATGATGTTTTGCAAATTGACACGAATCACACTGTAAAGATGACACCTTATTGAATTGAGGATAAAGCTTCTTTAACGACGGAAGAGAAGGGTGACCTAGTCGATAGTGAGCCTCTAACACAGTTCCAATGCCAAGACAAGAGATTGATTTGGGTAAGGATGTATCCAAGAGATAGAGACCGGCCGACTCATATCCTTTGCCACTAACCGATTCGTCAACAGATCCTGAAATACACAATATCCAGGAAAAAAGGTTACAGAACAATTAAGTTTACGTGTGATTTTGCTGATCGAAATCAAATTGAAAGCAAAATTTGGAAGACTTATGACGGGTGACAAAGGTAAGGTAGATGTTGGGACAATTGTTCCCGTACCAAGAACGGGTGACGTAGATCCGTCAGCCAAAGTCACACTAGAAGTATGAAGAGATGTGTGGAATGAGGAAAAAAAGACTAGGATTACCTGTCATATGATCTGTTGCTTCTGAATCGATAACCCATTTTGAGGATGAAGATACAAGACATGTGTTTGGATTACCTAAATTAGCTACAGCTGAGATCGGAGTAGATGAATGCTTTAGAGCCTCCTGGTAACCTAGGAATTTGGCATATTCCTCAGAAGACATAATGATGGATCCATTAGACGACTGTGTAGCGGAAGCAATGTGAGCGACTTGATTTCCTTGATTTTTGAACTTTAGCTTTCGACAATCTTTGATCAAGTGCCCGAGTTTCTTACAGTAGTTGCATACTACTCCTTTTCCAATCGGTCCTGCGCGTGGCCATTTCTTACCTCCATTGGGGAATGTTGGGACTTGCCCTACAGAAGCATTGCTTGGCTGAGGTGCCGATGATGTGGATGAAGTGTCAGTGCGAAGCACTCTACTGAAAGCATCTTGAAGAAAAGAGACCACATCACTAGACAGGATATGTGATTTGGTTGTTTCAAAATCAGACGTAAGACCGGCCAAAAAGCTCATGACTGCCATTTGTTCTCGTTGTTTCAGCTGCACTTTGATATCAAGACTAAATGGCATTAAGGTATTAAGTTCTTCATACGTTTTCTTGAAATCCATAAAATAAGCTGTGAGAGGCTTATCTTTCATTTCTGTCCTGTAAAAGGCTTTGCACACCTCATAGATGTGGTTAAGATTACCTTTGCCAGAATACATAAATTCTAAATAATCAAACAGTTCTTTCACAGTATCACAATGACTAACATACCCCATGACGTCATTCTCCATGGAGTTCTGAATCTGGATAAATAATCTAGAATCATCACGAAGCCAGACAGCATTAGGAGCTCTATCAATCTCCTCCTTTGGCGGGTCATCAACAAAGTGGGTGTATTTATCAATGCTTCGTAAATAACGTTTGATAGTTTTACTCCATTCAAGATAGTTAGAGCCACAAAGTTTATTCTCAGTAATTTTAAAATTAATGGGAATAAGTTCGGAAACTACCAAAGGCTGAGCAAGTTGTACGGTGGAAGTCTCTGTATCAGAACCACCAGGCATTTTTTTTTTGACTTTTTATTGACTTTTTTTTTATTTTTTTTAATTGAAGAAATAAGATGTTATGTATTAAGTAAACTTACAGCGACCAAAATACTATCCTTGAATGTCGTCGTTACTTAATAAGCAAAGCCACAGAAAGATAATACCGTTCAAGACACCTGAAAATAGTTCCGATGGATTCTCTGGCGATTGGGTCTGCGATTAGGTCTGCGAGGTCCTCTGACGGCGCGTGTGGCCTGCGGATTTCAAGTGTAAGGTCGGCGGCGGAAGGCGTGACTGCCTAGGGTGGAGGTGATGCTCTGTGAAACTGTGGATTTTGGACTGAGGTTCTTATTTTTGGGGCTAAGGTTCTAGCTGAGCCATGAACTGAGGTTCTGAAAAATACTGCTAAGCTAAACTGGAACAGATTGCTCTAATACCATGTTGTAAGAATTAAAGATAGAATAGTAATGAGAAGAATGATTTTTGTGTATATTTCATTGGAGGGTCAAGCCCATATATATATACATTACAAAGATAGAATATTCCTTTAAGATTCTATACAATAATAATATCCTAGAGTATATTCCTAAAATATTCTAAAGCATATTCTAAAGATAGAAGAATATTCTAAAACATGTTCTAAAGAATATTCTATAATGTCTTTCACACCTAGCAACAAAAAATTGATCCATTAAGGCTCTATTTGGATGGATGGAGAAAGGGACTTGGGAGGGCTTATATCTTAATAAACATATCTGCAGTCTTAGAAAAGAAACAAGTTAACTTGATGTTAAGAATAACATGTGATCACATTATATTTCAGGCCTCCTCGGTAGCCTCATTTGGGTCATTCTAAATACCAGCAAGAAATCAAATTAAGTGGCCTGAGACTTTTACTTATTTGGCTAAAATGGGTCTTTTCCTTTCAGAAATGTTCAGTTTATTAAGATTAAGACTAAACCCACCCAACATTTCCCACAAAACCACCATCCAGATCCCAAAGCATTTCCAAGGGTAGAAATGCTTTAGATAATTAGATGTGTCAGAATGTGTGGACAATTACCTGCTCCATATATAAAACCTTTGAGCCATCTACCATGTCAGCTGCTGAGCACGAAAGCCATCTATCGATATAAGAAACATTAAGACAGATTCATAGAAAAGCAGAACCAGAACTGTGCATAATTGCATAAAGTTCACAACTCTTAAAGAGCTCAATATTCTTTGATACATAAGACTAAAAACATGACCTTAGGATATTAGAACTCACTAAAGCTAAGCAACTAAAGAACCTGGTTGGTAGGTTTCTTTTGGATCTATTAGCTAGTTGTTTCATCAAACACTAATTTATTTCACCGCACTTCTTGATCTGGCTGACTAATACTGAAAAAATATATTGCACTTTATCGACTTAGGTTGCTGAAAGAATTGAAATGAATATTTCGACCTATCTTTAGAAATTAATTTCCTTAACATTAATGAAATATACATTTTTCGTTCAATTATTATTTAGAACAAAATTTAGAAAATTCAGCCTGTTCAACCAAAAAAATTAAGGAGTACTACATACAACTCAAGCCCAATCATGTGAGCCGTTTAAGATCTCACCACACAGGTTCTAAGCATGTGGAATAAATGAATGAAAGAATCAATGAGTGAAGAAATTAGCACCTCAAATTGAAGTAACTATCTGGGTCTCTAGCAGCTTGCTCTTTAGAAAACTACAAAGTAAACCATGAGAATACTAATACAGAACATACTCTAAAGGGGGAAAATCAACAAACGCATTTGAATAACTCTAACCTTTTCGCCGCTGAGGGACTGAGCGACAATCCGGGAGTGATCCCAACGGGTGGTTGACTTGGTGAACCGCCTTATCAGAAGTGCCCCGCCGATCAAAGCCAGCGTCTTCAGAACCATTCCCTGGGCCCTATCCCAACCGTTCTGACTCCCCTCCGGCCTCGGGTCCGAACCCGTACACATGCTCGTTTGAGCCTCGCTTTCCAGAATTCCAGTTTCTCAAAATTTCATGCCTTCGGGTATCCAATCAACCAATACATGAATCAAAGGCCAGAGTTAAAAAGTGATATTCATCCCTTTCGTACGATATTTAAGAAGATATTTGGAAATTCAGGCGAAGGCAAACAAGCAAGCTACGGCACGAGCATGTTATTACATACGGAGTAATACATACAGCCAGTATGCATCACCTTACTGCTGTCAACCAATAACCACCGCTCGTTACATTCAGCGCATCTCCAAAAATTTTGTCCACCACACTCTATGGCACAAGAGGATACTCCTCCGTTAAAGTTTGTCCCCACTTCACAAGTTTTACACAGCAGCCACATTCTCACTGTTTGACACTGTTTGGTATAGATTTATTTACCAAATAAAAAAGTTGAAAAAGTAGGACAAACATTTTGGGACAACCGTTTCGAGAAAGTGTGACAAACTTTAAAGGACGGAGAGAGTATTTTATACTACCTTCCACGATTAAGTTCTAACTTCCACTTTTTCGGTCAAATTTTATAAATTTTGATCATTAATTATTCAAAATTTACATTACTTTATCACACGAAGTTAATTTTATATAGTTCGTTTAAATATATACTATTCAGATGTTAAATTGATAGAGTATATCTCTTAGATTCTAGAGAGAAGTGAGAGCTAGAGAGAGAAGTGCAATAATATGCTTCAATAGAATGAATTTGTAACCCCTATAACTACTCCCAAGGGGAGTATTTATAGAGAAAATTAGGGTTGGGCTCCCAAGCCTTGGACTTGGGAGGCCCATTTACAACTGGGCCGGATACAAAGCCTCTAATGGGCTGTACAAATGAGCAAGTATAGAATCCGATTCTGGGAGGTCTTCGTGGCCGACGAGGGCGCGGCCGACGAGGGCACGGCCGACGAGGGCACGGCCGACGAGGGCACGGCCGACGAGGGCACTCGGGTTCCTTGGACTCAGGACCACAATTCGAGTTGACTTCTTCTCGGCCGACGGGGGCGTCTTGGCCGACGAGGGCGCCACTCTGTTGTCTTGTGCTCTGTTCTTCCGAGTATGTGGGTCCTGGGGCTCGGACCCATATACTCCATCAGGAGTCCCCCACTCTCTGAGCTGAGACGTAGGCGAAGTGAAGGAGAGTAGATTCCTGTGCTTTGTTGCTTTTGGCCGACGCGGGCATTTCCAGGCCGTTAGCCGTTGCGGCGTTGGCGTTGTTTCCTCTTTGGTGATCCTGTTCTGTGCCTTGGCCGTTACCTGTTCCTCGCTGTGGCGGGGAGGCCGTTGTTTCCTTAATTTGTTTTGGGACGATGAGTGTCCTTCTTTCCATGGTGGACGTTGAAGGCGCGCTTTCCCTTTCCTGGACGTTGGTGGTTGAAGTTTATGTTTGGGCCGGTGAAGTCGTTGGGTTTGTTCCTTGCTTTGAGGACGATGGCCTCATTTTCTTTGTGTGGCCGATGAGGGTGTTTGCGCACTCCTTTTGGCCGTTGCTGGTGACGTTATGGGCCTTTAGCCGATGAAGTTCCGTTGTGCTGTATGGACGATGCGGCCATGCTTTGTGGCTACTTTGTTCGCACTTTTTTGTTTTGTTGAGGCCGGTGTAGTCCCCCAGTCCCCCACTGCTTCAGGCCGAAGAGTGTGAGGGGTGAAGGAGTTGCTTGAGTCCCTGGCCGAAGCGGTCTCGCCGTAGTCCCCCTGAATCCGACTCTCATGGCGATTTTCTGGCCAAGGTAACCCTGTGGGAGAACCCTTGTGCACAGATCGCTTGTAGAGAGTTATCATCAAGGGTTATTACGGGGAGACGAAGGCTGTGGGCTATTTGTCCCCTTTGTTCTGTGGCCGTTACGTTCCTGGCCGTTGCCATCCTCTTATTGTTTGGCATTTGTGATATTGGTGAGCAAGTGGGACGTTGTGGGCGCTTGCTGGCAGATGTAAAGCCGTTGGGCGTGTGTGGGCCGTAGAGTCTGATTTGCCAGTGGTCCGTTGATGTGGCTTGGGCCTGGCCCGTTGGTGTCGTGGTGGCCTCCCATTGGTGGCCGTTGATGTGGCCATTGGGAGAGTGCCACGTGTAGTGACCGTTGGTGGGGGGTCTATAAATACCTCGTCCCCTCCGACGAAGAATCACATTTGCATTCTGAATTTGTCGAAGTGCTGGCCGATTTTCTAGAGAGAAACTCCCAAGCCTGTTCTTCGTGTTCTTCGTTGTTTGAGGTTAGTGTTCATCACGATCTTCCTCACTTTTCATATTTTGTTCCGTAAGTAGTTGATCTAGTGTTAGGCTTTTAAACACCTTTAGATCGTAAGTTGTTCTCCTTAAGTCCGTAAAAGTAGTAATGAAGAGCTTGAACGAGGACTACTACCCCTACGACGACCAGCCCTCCACGAGGTCCCTTGACTACGAGGTGCTCAAGGAGTTTGAAGAGGAGATAGAGCGTTTGAGCCCCTACAAATCCGGAGAGCTGATGGACGAGGAAGGCGAGGACGAGGAGTCCGCCTCCTCTTCAGAGGGTGAGGACGTAGGCGCGTCCCGAGCGGTGGACGGGGCGTCCACTTCTGCTGCCGTTCCGTGCCCGAGGCCGGTATCTGCCGTGAAGGGCGCAGCTAAGCCGAAGAGGGTGAGGAGGCCGAAGAATGGGCCGGGCCTCTCCTACTTGGACCTCACCAACATATTCCTGATCAAGCCGGAGAGCAGTGCGGCCGACTATCTTGTCGCCCAGATGTACGTGGGGATGTTCGGGCAGGTTAGGGCACCCAGACCGACGGACCATGTTCTACTTCCGCCACCGGGATACTTCGGAGTATACCCGATGAGTTTTGCTAAGGGGTTGAGGTTCCCCCTTCACCCTTTCGTCACTGAGTATCTGGACATGGTGGGGCTTCCTCCGGCCTTGCTGACGCCGAACAGTTATTCCTTGATAGTGGGCTTCTTGCTTCGGTGTGAGGAGTTGGGCTACAGGCCGACCACGGCCTTATTCATGAACTTGTACCAGATCGGTCGAGGAAGCCACAAGAACTGTGCGGCCTATGCTACTCTTCAACAGCTGCCGAGGAAGAGGAGCTTCACGGATTTGCCTACGTCCATTCATGGGTGGAAGAGCAAGTTCGTGTTTGTGTCCATTGGTGAGAGTGGCACCGAGTTCCCCTCCCTCGGCCATACCGGGAGGTTCAATCTTCATGACCCGCCGAAGAGCTCTATTTTGGACGCTCAGGTGGAGGCGTTCCTGGAAGGGGGGCCGAGGAGCGTGAAAGATTACGTCACTGAATACAAGATGACGGCCCTCGGCTTCTTCAGATATCACTTGTATGGAGATAAGGAGGATGACCTCCAACTCTGGCCGAGGATGACCACCACCTTTGAGGAGGCCGATGGCCCGCCTTTGGGCATTCCTGCTGAGGCCGATGGTAATTTTTCTTCGGCTTTCTGTCTTTACGTTTTGTCCTTTGCCTTACTAATCTGTTTGTTTTTCCTTTGTAGACTTTGTCATGGACCGGCGTTCCATAATGGCCGTTGCTAAGGCCAAGGCGGCCGAAGAGCTGGCTGCTAAGGCGGCCGAGGCGGCCCGACGTGCCGCTGCTGGTGGGAGCGGGGCTACTGCTGACGCGGCCCCAAAGCCTGCCCCGTCCAAGAAAAAGAGACCGGCCACTGACGGCCAGAAAAAGTTGACCGAGGCCGGCGTGAGCGTCTCTAAGAAGACGAAGAGGGCTCCTTCCCCTTCTCCGGCTAGTGAGGCCGGTACGCTTACTGTCCCCAGCGTGGGCGATGGTGGTCCCGTCGTGGACCTTACTGTTGCTGATGATGCCGCCCCAGCGCTTCCTCTCGTCCAGGAACCACGGACGCAGAGGGTCGGCAAGGAGATTGCTGGTGCCACCTATCAGAAAGTGATAGAGTACCCCGTCGGCGGGGGCGTGTTTAATGACCTCGTCCCCGGCCACGTCGTCCTGGCCAAGGCCATGCCGGCCAAAGATCGGGCTCATTTGAAGAAGCTCGAGGACCCGAAGATTTATGAGGGCGGCATGGATCTCCTCGTCCAAGTAAGTGATTGTCCTTATATTCTTGTCTCTCTTCGTCTATGTAGAGTTTTTGCCTGACCTTTGTTTTTCTTCTGCAGAGTGCCTTCATGCTTATGGAAAGCCATAAGAGGCAGTACTGGGAGATAGCCCGCCTGCAAGCGCTGGAGCAGAAGGCTGCCTCGGCCGACGAGGCGGTAGCTTGCCTTGACCGGCTCCGGGAGGATGCCAAGGCGCTGCAGGCCAAAGCTGATGAAGCCGTCGCGGCCAGGGACGATGCCCTGGTCAAACTCGAAGAGAGCAAAAGGGAGCTCGCGGAGTCCCACAGGGCGCTTGAGGCCGAGAAGCGCAGGAGCGAGGAGGCCGCCAAGGCGAAGGCTGAGGCCGAGGCCGCCGTCGTGAAGGCTGCCGATGAGGCCGTTGAGAAGTTCTTGGCCGAGGGGTGGAAGGCCGATGAGAGGCTCCCCTGGTGCTACGAAGTGGTGGCCGCCAGGCTGGAGAATTGGGGGATGAACTCCCCTGCCGGCCGGGAGTATTTCAGCCGGGAGATGTCCGTTTACTACAACCTGGGCCAGGAGCGGATGCAAAGGCTCCTGTGCCGGCGGCTATCCCGGGCGTTGAAGGCCATAAATTACACGTTTGGATGGGCTAGACGGAACCTGAAGCTGCCAAAGCTGATGAAGGATCCCGAAGAGCAGGCCAAGCTTCCGCTGTCGGAGCGGGAGTCCCCCATAGAAAGCTCCGGCCTCGGCGAGCCGGACTACACTGAGTTCGACTTCCTTGATGATGCTACCAGTGCTGCACCTGCTGCCGGCCAAGAAGCTGAGGACGAAGAGGGAGCTGATGAGGCCGATGAGGCGGCCGCAGATGGAGGTGCCCCCGAAGCTTGATTGGCTACTTTTTGTAATTAGCTTTTCAATTTTTTGCCAAGTGATGTAACGGCCGTAGTGCCCCCCAATTGTAATGAAATTTATCAATTGAAGAAATTTTTGCTGTCCTTTTCGGCCTTGAATCCTTTGTGTGCTTGTTTGCTTTGTCATTTCAATTCTGTAAATTGTCTAAGTATCAAGTCATAACTTGGGTCACCCGCGAGTGTCCGCTACGTCCGTGAGGTTGGCCTTCCCGTCCAGTAGTCTGGTCGGCCTATGCCTCTTTGCTTTACTGTCATAACACTTAGGATTTTGTTTCAAAAATTTCCCAAGTGTTTTTGGGTCCATGTAGCTCCTGTCTTTACGGCCTAGTGGCTTGATCGGCTTGGACGTAGTTTCATAACACTTAGGAATTTTTCAAAATTTTTC